TGAGGTCCACATATATTTTGATATTAACCCCTCATCCAGTATATGATTTGCAGAGATTCTCTCTACTCTGTGTTAGCCTTTATATTTTGCTGATTGTTTCTTTGGTTGTGCAGGAGCTTTTTAGTTTGATGTAGTCCTCCCACCTGTTGATACTTGCTTTTCTGGCTTGTGCTTTTGGGGACATACCTCAAAATTATTGCCCAAAGCAGTATTAAGTAGCTTCTTCTCTATGTTTTCTTCCTGGAGTTTTATAGTATCAGGTCTTATGTTTCAGTCTGTAATCCATTTTAAGTTATATTTGCAAGTGGTGGAAGGTAAGTGTCCGGTTTCATTTTTCTGCATGTGGTTTTCTTATTTTCCCAGCATCATTTGTTGAAGACACTAGCTTTTCCCCTTTCAAAATAGCATTAAAACCGATAAGATACTTAAGAATAAACGTAACTAAGTAAGTGAAAAATTTGTGCTTTGAAAACTATAAGACTTTTATGGAAAAAATTGAAGTCAAAACAAGTGGAAAGATATACTGGACCAGAAGTATGGTTAATGCACCAGAAGAATTAATGCTAAAATGTCCGTACTACTCAAAGCCGTTTATAGGTTCAGTGCAGTTTCTATACATATTCCAACAGCATTTTTTACAGATAGAAATCAATCTGAAAAATTTTTTATGTGACCACAAAAGACCCAGATATCTAGCCAGAACAATCCTGAGAAAATAAATTGGGAGTCATCATGCTTCCTGCTTTAATAGTGTATCACAGTACTGTAGTCATGAGACACCATGATACTGGTATTAAAATACACACGTAGTCTAAAGGAACAGAATAGAGAACCCAATAGTAAACCCCTGTGTATCAGGTCAGCTAATATTTGAGATGGAAGTAAAACATGTTCAGTGGGCAAAGGATATAGTCTCTTTGACAAATGGTGCTAGGACAACTGGATACTACTTTTAATTTTTGGCAGAACCTCCGTACTGCTTTTCATAGTGGCTGTGGTTAATTTACATTTTTACCAACAGAGCACAAGGATTTTCTTTTCTCCACATCCTTGCCAATACTTGTAATGGCTTGTCTTTTTTAACTGTAGCCATTGTGACAGGTGTGAGATGGTCTCATGACATTGATTTGCACTTCCTTGACAATTAATGATGTGCGCTTTTTCATTTGTATGTCTTCTTTGGAAAAATTGTCTTATAAATCCAATATTTTTAAATTTGATTTTCTTGGCTGTTAAGTTGTATGATTTATTCATATACTTGAGTAACTACCATTTATCAAAAGATCATTTGCTAATAGTTTCTCCCATTCCATATGACGCCTTTTTGTTTTTTCAATTTTTTTTTCTATGCAGAAGTGTTTTAGGTTGACTTAGTCCCACTTATTCTTTTGGCTTTTGCTTTTGTTGCCTGTCCTTTTGAGTCATAGCCAAAAAATCATATTCCCAAGACCGAGGTCGAGGAGATTTTCCTCTGATTCTTTTTTAGGAGTACTATAGTTTCAAATCATACGGTTGTCTCTATTGTGAGTTAATTTTTGTGAGTTGCATAAGATGGGGTCCAGTTTAATTTTCTTAACATCCATTCAACTGTACCAATTTACATTTCCCCCAAAAAGTGCACAAGTTACCTTTTCTTTATACTGCAAACTTTTTTTTTTTTTATAATAGCCATTCTAACAGGTGTGAGGTAATGTTTCATTGTGTTGTTTTTTTTTCTGTCAGGGACTTTTTTTTTTAACATTTTTTATTGAGTTATAATCATTTTACAATGTTATATCAAATTTTAGTGTACAGCATAATTTTTCAGTTATACATGAACATATATATATTCATTGTCAGATTTTTTTCTCTGAGCTACCCTAAGATCTTGTATATATTTCCCTGTGCTATACTGTATAATCTTGTTTATCTGTTCTACGTTTTGAAATCACAGTCTGTCCCTTCCCACTCCCTGCCCCCTTGGCAACCACAAGTTTGTATTCTATGTCTATGAGTCTGTTTCTGTTTTGTAGTTTGTTTTGTTTTGTTTTGTTTTGTTTTGTTTTGTTTTGTTTAGATTCTACATATTAGAGATCTCATATGCTATTTTTCTTTCTCTTGCTGACGTACTTCACTTTGAATGACTTTCTCCAGGAGCATCCATGTTGATGCAAATGGCATTATGTTGTTGGTTTTTATGGCTGAGTAGTATTCCATTCTATAAATATACCACACCTTTATCCAGTCATCTGTCGATGGACATTTAGGCTGTTTCCATGTCTTGCTTATTGTGAATAGTGCTGCTATGAACACTGAGGTGCAGGTGTCTTTTTGAAGTAGGGTTCCTTCTGGACATATGCCCAGGAGTGGGATTACTGGGTCGTATGGTAAGTCTATTCCTAGTCTTTTGAGGAATCTCCATACTGTTTTCCACAGTGGCTGCACCAAGCTGCATTCCCACCAGCAGTGTAGGAGGGTTCCCTTTTCTCCACAGCCTCTCCAGCATTGGTCATTTGTGGAGTTTTGAATGGTGGCCATTCTGACTGGTGTGAGGTGATACCTCATTGTAGTTTTGATTTGCATTTCTCTGATAATTAGTGATGCTGAGCATTTTTTCATGTGCCTATTGATCATTTGTATGTCTTCCTTGGAGAATTGCTTGTTTAGGTCTTTTGCCCATTTTTGGATTGGGTTGTTTTTTTCTTATTAAGTCGTATGAGCTGCTTATGTATTCTGGAGATCAAGCCCTTATCAGTTTTATCTTTTGCAAAAATTTTCTCCCATTCTGTAGGTTGTCTTTTTGTTTTGTTCATTGTTTCCTTTGCTATGCAGAAGCCTGTAAGTTTAATTAGGTCCCATTTGTTTATTCTTGCTATTATTTCTATTCCTTGGGTAGACTGTTCTAGAACATTTTTGAGATGTATGTCAGATAATGTTTTGTATGTTTTCTTCTAGGAGGTTTATTGTATCTTGTCTTATGTTTAAGTTTTTGATCCATTTTGAGTTTATTTTTGTGTATGGTCTAAGGGAGTGTTCTAGCTTCATTGCTTTACATGCTGCTGTCAGGTTTTTCCAACACCATTTGCCGAAGAGACTGTCTTTATTCCATTGTATATATTGCCTCCTTTGTCGAAGATTAGTTGACCAAAAGTTTGTGGGTTCATTTCTGGGCTCTCTATTCTGTTCCATTGGTTTATATGTCTGTTTTGGTACCAATACCATGCTGTCTTGATTACTGTAGCTCTGTAGTATTGTCTGAAGTCTTGGAGAGTTATTTCCTCCAGCCTCTTTCTTTTTCTTTAGTAATGTTTGGCAATACTAGGTCTTTTGTGGTTCCATATAAATTTTATTATATGGACTTGTTCTAGTTCTGTGAAATATGTCCTGGGTAATTTGATAGGGATTGCATTAAATTTGTAGATTGCCTTGGGCAGTGTGACCATTTTAACAATATTGATTCTTCCAATTCAGGAGCATGGGATACCTTTCCATTTTTTTTTAAGTCTTCTTTAATTTCCTTCATCAATGGTTTATAGTTCTCTGTGTATAAGTCTTTCACCTCCTTGGTTAGATTTATTCCTAGGTATTTTATTACTTTGGGTGCTATTTCAAAGGGGATTGTTTTCTTTACTTTCTTTTTCTGTTGATTCATCATTAGTGTAAAGAAATGCAACTGATTTTTGAACATCGATCTTGTGACCTGCTGCCTTGCTGAATTCTTTGATTAGTTCTAGTAGTTTTTGTGTGGAGCTTTTAGGGTTTTCTGTATGTAGTATGGTGTCATCTGCATATAGTGACACTTTTACCTCTTCTTTTCCAATTTGGATCCCTTTTATTTCTCTCTCTTGCCTGATTGCTGTGGCCGGGACTTCCAAGACTATATTGAATAGGAATGGTGATAGTGGGCAGCCTTGTCTTGTCCCAGATTTTAGTGGGAAGCTTTTGAGTTTTTCACCGTTGAGTACTATGCTGGCTGTAGGTTTGTCATATATATAGCTTTTACTATGTTGAGATATGTTCCCTCTATACCCACTTTGGTGAGAGTTTTTATCGTAAATGGATGTTGAATTTTATCAAATGCTTTTTCTGCAACTATTGAGATGATCATGTGGTTTTTGTCCTTTCTTTTGTTGATGTGATGTATTACATCGATTGATTTGCGTATGTTGAACAACCCTTGTGTCCCTGGAATGAACCCCACTTGATCATGATGTCTAATCTTTTTTATGTACTATTGGATTCTATTTGCTAATATTTTGGTAAGGATGTTTGCATCTGTGTTCATCAGTGATGTTGGTCTGTAATTCTCTTTTTTGGTGGTGTCTTTGCCTGTTTTTGGTATCAGGATGATGGTGGCTTCACAGAATGAATTTGGGAGTATTCCCTCCTTTTCAGTCTTCTGGGAGAGTTTGAGAAGGACTGGTATGAGTTCTTTGTATGTTTGTTAGAATTCGCTGGTGAGGCAGTCTGGTCCTGGATTTTTATTTGTAGGGAGGTACTTCGTCTTTTTTAAAAGCCCACTGAAACAGTTTTATGAGTTACGTTGCTTAAAATTTATTTATTTTAGAATATCTTTAAAAGATTTCAAAGTGGAAGTAGATCAACACCCTCATTTTATAGTTGAAAAAAAAAAACCAACAACAGGGGTGGGTATAGCTCAATGGTAGAGTGACTGCTTAGCATGCGTGAGGTCCTAGGTTCAGTCCCCAGTACCTCCTCTAAAAAAAAAAAAAGAAAGAAAGAAAAGCCTAATTACCTTCCCCTCCCCAGGAAAACCCCAAAGTCCATGAGGTTAAGTTTCTCATTTAACTAATTTCTTGTACATATACAAGAAGTTTCTGTTGGTCACTGAGAATTCAAAGGGAAACATGAAGCCATTCTGATCCTGAAAGAACTGCCAGTCTCGCAGGGGAGAGACAACCACCAGTCAGACAAGGTGAAGCGGGCTGTGCCCCCGCACGGACCAGGGGGTGATTCATCCTGTCGGGTCAGGGAGGTTGTGGAAAGGCTGCAGGAAGGATGGATACTTGGAGCCTTGATTAGTATGGGCTGGTGTGGAGACACGGAGCGGGCATGACAGGTGGAAGGAGGAGGAGGGTAGCTGTGGGAGGGGGTCTGGTGCTGGACAGCGTGGAGTCGCCTGGTGGCCTGAGTGGTCAAGGACGAGCCTGCAAGACAGGGAGCCCTGGACAGGGCTTGGACTCTTCTCTTTGGATTCAGGGTCTTAAACGGGAGCAGTGTGATCAGACTTGTGCTTTTAGAGGAACACTCAGAGCAGTGTGAGTAGGCGGAATTGGGGTAGACAAGAAGAAGGCAGAGCAGGTAGGAATTTGCTAGAATATTACTGCTAAGAAATAATAAAGGACTGAATAAGTGAAATTAAGTGATATTTTGAAGGTAGAAATTGTAAGAATTGTTTGTGGTTTCAGAATGCAGTTCTGGGATTTTCTCCCCAAAATTCCATCATATTTTTCCTTCTCATGATTCATGTACAGTGATAGTGGTTAATATCTACTGAGAAATTACTGTCCCAGACCCTGTGGTAAGTACCTCACATCCATTAGCTCCTCTGAACATCTCGATAGCCCTCTGGACTAGGTCATATCACAACCACGTGACAGACGAGGGAATCCAGGCTCTGAGAGGTTACACTGTGCTCTGTCTCCGAGCCAAGAAGAATCAGAAGTTGGAATTGACCCAGGGCTCTACTGTAGCATGAGAGCCTGGATAGCTATGATTATTGCATCACCAACTACATAAGTGAAGTGAAAGATCTCAAGATACAGGATAATCTCACAGAGCTTACAGCTCTGCCCTGGTAAAACCTTGGCACCTCAGCAAAATGAAGCTCAGAACTGTCCGGTGTGTTCCATGAATATTCATTCTTCTGTTTACCCACCTCACAAGTCCCGGTGCAGAGTCAGGAGCTCCGCAGCACTGCGTGTGGTCTCCTGTGGGCCCCTGCAGCCGAGCACCTGCCCCAGCAGGGTACGGAGGTTGCTAAGGAACTGCACTGAGCTCTCTGACCCTCCTACCCTCTCCTTGATTTTTCCTTAATTTTCCTGATCCTCTTTCTCTACTTCCATGCTGTCTTCACAAGCCGCTTGCCCTGATCGTGGTGATGCAGGTTAGTGCACGGCCTAGTAATTCTTGCCCTTGACCTCAACTCGCCTGTTGTTGCATCTTTTTCTCCCCTTGGCTTGTTGCATTTTTTGAGAGCTCTTGGCTAAACTGGCCCAAGAATCTCCTCCTCTCCTATTTGTCCATATTGTCAACTCCCAACCTAGAGACTGTGGTTGAGGCTAAGGTGACACCGGTCAGCATCCCCTCAAAGACCTTGCAGTGCAGTGGGGATGTGAGCTGTGTGGCTGACCATTACTGCAAGGTCAGGGGAGTTCTGCATCACAGGAGAAGGATAGGTAAAGGGCCACAGAAGCACAAAACTGAATCATGTTAATTCCCGTTAGAACACATTCCATCATGAATAAATTAAAAAACAAGTTGTTTATTTACAGCACAAAAGTAAGTATGTGTGAAACTCGGTCAGTTGTAATTTGACGATATTACCGGTCCTGCCAGGAGAGAAGACTGAGCAGAGAGACCATGGCAGAGCAGTGGAAAGGGTGATCACGATGAATGAGAGTCCAGGTTTTGCTTCAGTCAATTATTAGACTAAGTGTTAAGTTCTGTCCTTGAGATCTGTATGACGCTCATGTAGGTGTAAAATAATTGTTCATATTCTCTTCCAGCCAAATAATCAGTATTGAAGACAGGCAGGACCTCAGATTCTTAACTCCATGATCCAGGCCTTCATCCAGATTCCAGGGACACATCCACCTTGGGAGAATCACCTGACTGAACAGGACAAGCTACAAGGCTCGTGTCTCCTCTGCCTTCAGGTCAGCATGAAAAGCCGATTGCACAGCTTCCTTGGCCCCTGCGCAGTAACCCCACTGTGATCTTGTCCCCTCAGGTCCCTGGGCTCTGGGACAGGAGCGGCACAGAAAGAGGAAGCTGAGGGAACAAGCCAGTCTCCCCTGAGCCCACAGAGCTGGCCTAAGCTACCCACTCAGTCCTGTCTGTATGCTGGTCCCTCTCACAACCTGGTACAGATTTTTAGGTGCAAGGACCCTCCCCTCCTCACTGGGAGGCAGCCCCAGGTGTCACCAAAGACCAGGGAAAACAAAAGATGGACCAGAGAATCACCCAGAGGAGCAGGATCACACCCATGGGGACTTCTTATGGTTAAGTCTGCTTAGTAGAAAAGGAGCAGCGATGTTTCTTTCTTGCCTTGAGTTTACTCAAGTTTCTCTTCCCTGGCTGTTGAGTAGAGCAAGAGGCACTTTTAGCTTTCTTGTGGTTAGACTGCCTCTGAGGTTTGTGTACTTGGAAGAAGTCTATGGAAAACAAATATGTGTATGTGTATGTATGACTGAAACAAACTGTACACCAGAAACTGACATGGTGTAACTGACTATACTTCAATTTAAAAAAAAAGTCTATGAATTCTGTGTATGAAGCCACATAGTGGCAGGATCCGTGAGATCTCCACATTCCATTAAAAAATCCAAAAGGGAAGCATAAGAATTCCCAAGGCCAGTGCGTTCAAAGTGTGCAGCCAGCTCAGTATCCATGTAAGAGGCTGTCCCAGGGTCCCAGGCCTGTCTGAGTGTCAGGTAGGAACTGCATGAAAAGGAGTCCAATGTGCTGGGTCCTGGTGGTGGTCGTAGGTGGAAGCCATTAAGGGGGAGTCACACCCAGAAGGAGTAGGCTCCCCCTGAGTGGGAAATAGTGAGAAGAGGGCCCACATTTGGTGGTCAGAGTGTTAGCCATGAGAGAGTCAGAAGGAGAGAATGTGGAAAGGGCCATGGGGCAGGGATCAGTCTGAGGCCAGCACCAGTGATGAGGGACCAGGAGACCCCTTGACAGGATGTGGTCTTTGGAGGCTTGTGTTAAAAGCATAGGATGCAGCCAAAGAAGTCTGTGGAACCCAAGGTACTGGAAGTCAGTGAGGAAAGAGAACACGATGTACTGAGGAACTGTACTTCCCCAGGCCAGCAGCAAAGGTGCTCTCTAAATTAGGATCCAGGTAACTGCCTGAATGCCACACAGCCCCCTCCTCACCTATGAAGACAACAGATACCTGGGTGGGTGAGGCTGGGTTTAAAGTCCAGGTGGGCAGCGCTAACATAGCAGGCATTCGGGCAGCTTACACCTGCTTTTGAAAGAGCCAGCAATGATCGGTTTCTCTTTCTGGTTCTGTCTGCAGCCAGTGATACTTCTGGGTATGGTTGACCTTGGACTCATCGTTCACAAGTCCACCCACCCATCCATAAAGTTCACTTCACACTACATCTTGGGCCAGCAACGATACTTACAGTGTAACCACTCACAAAGTCCTCAGAGATTCACAGCATGAGACAAGAAGTCACACCTGGTCATTCCCCCTCATGCTTCCACCCCTGCACTGACTGCCACCATCACATGAACTACGCACAAGCCAGTTGACCTGCCTTAATTTGCACGTGTGGGATAGGGGTGACTTTCAGTACACGGAAACCAGATATTTGATTGTTATTACACCAGATATTCCAAATTTCATATCAGACATTGACCTAGTTGGACTTAACAAAAATTCCAGTAAGGAAGTGGAGCAGAGGCCAGGAAGTGCCCCCTCACTTATTCCTGATTTTCTTTCATTCTCCCTACTTTTTTTTAACCCCAAATGAAATCTAAATAAAGAAGTTAAGATAGAGCACAGCACAGTGAAGTGATGCCAAAACTCAGCGCATCCTCCCCATTGTCATGGGACTGAGACCTTGCCAGTGGTGGGTCTCATCCAAGGACGGGGCTGGGGACACGCTCTTGAGGAACATGAGCCTCTTCTGAGATCTGGGTAGCCATGTTTGCAGGGACATGCTGGGTGTTCCATCATCTGAAGCAGGGCATGTCAGCACAGAGCAGTCCCGAGGGGGGCCCAGCAGGTTCTCAGGCACAAACACAGATCCCCACTTGACCCGTATCTGGAGCACCGTCTAGGGCCCATCAGTCTAGACCCATCGCTGTAGTATTCAGACAATAAAGATCACTCCCATTGCATCCTGCCCAGAGTGAACGTGTGCGCCCGTCCAGAGGCCTTCTGTCGTTAGGTGAGCCTCCGCCCTTCTAACAGTGCAGGAGATAGAATCATGTCTTCATCCCAGCCTGCCCTCCCCATTTTCTTAATTTCCCAGAAGAGTTTGCTTTCTCCTGGCCCAGACCCCCTGACTCCCCCATATCCGTCAGGAGACCTCAGGCCTCCACCATCAGTTCAGGCAGAACTTCCCCCCAAAAGACACACCTCAGATGACCTGGAGTCCCTGGAAGATGAGCTGCTGTCACTAACATAGTGAGAAACCTGTGGGCTCCCTCCCATCCAAACCTCCTGCCCAGTCTTCCTCCCCCAGGAGTCCTTGTCCTGAGTAATGGGGTCTCTGAGCACCAGCTTCCTGGAAGGGTCATATTGAAGGAAATCCTAAAAAGAAGAATAGATTGAAATGACTGCATGATCTTTCACTACATCTGTTCACAATCCAATGCATGGAAAATCCAGGGAGTCCACACAGATAGTAATCTCTAGATTCAGCCTTTTACTCTGAGAGAATAGGATTAAACCCATTAGCAGGTTTCTAGGGTGTGGCTCTTTGTGAATATGCATTAAGCCAACGATCCTGGTAAACGTGGTAATTCAGGATTGAGTGTTAAATGAAATTTGCCCACATCTGTCAGCCAGGGGGGCTTTTATGGTCATCTGAATTCTGTGTTCTTAACTGTTATCAAGCTAGACACAATCTTCCATTTTTCATGGATCTTTTTAAAATTTCATCTTTAAAAAGTAATTTTATTTTTTTTTATTATTTTTTATGTTTTTGCTTGGGGAGAGGTAATTATGTTTATTTATTTACTTTTTTGTTTTAATGGAGGTACTGGGGATTGAACCCTGGACCTCATGCACAGTAAGCATGCACTCTAGCACTGAGCTATACCCTCCCCCCATGGCAGCTTTTTTTGAGGTGTAATTCACATATAAAATTGTAAGGTATTTGAAGAGCACATCTTGGTGACTTGATACATGTTTACAGTGTGAAAGGATTCCCTCATCTGGTTAACATCATCACTTCACATGCGTCTTTCCCTCTCTCTTCCTGTGAGACTATTTAGGCTTTACTCTCTTGCCAGTTTCAATTACATAATACAGATCAGCCATGATCACCACATGTTACATTAGCTCCTCAGACCATATTCATCTTATATCTGAACAGTTTCCCTCTTTTACCAGCCTCTCCCTATTCCCCCACCCCACAGCCCTGGGAACCACTTTTCTACCCTCTTTTTGTTTGAGTTTGACTTTTTCATAGATGTAATATCTGAGACAGTTCAGAAAACTTCCCCCAATTGCAAGTTCTTTCTGAGAGTCATCACTCCATTTTTCTGTCCATGTCATAGAAAAATACTCCCGGCCAACAGTGGATCAGTTGTAGCAGGCACTGACCCTGGAGGACGTGCCGCATGGCTCCGTTTGCTTTGGGAATTGACTGTGGGACTGAAGGTCTCAACAACTTAGAGCAACATAAGTTGACATAACACAAAAATTTATCTATGGCACTAAATTAACCCATACAACTGAGATCTAAAACCAGACACGGAGGGAGATTGCATAGTTCCAGGTACATATGGGATATATTTGAAGGGTAACGTGGACTTCTTTAGAGCCTGCAGCCTTCTGTTTCCTAAAAGACCAGCCTCCAGCTGTGCCCCTTAAGGTAGTCACAACAGCCCATCACCATGGCAACAGACGTTCCAATGGTGGCCTGTGCTGGGGAAGCTCTGGTTACAAGATGGTTTTTGTTTTTGTTTTTGTTTGTTAGGGGAGGTAATTAGGTTGATTGATTGATTGATTGATTGTAGCGGGGATTGAACCTAGGACCTCATGCATGCTAAGCATGCGCCCTACCACTTGAGCTATACCCTCCCCCCAACAAGATATATTTTAAAAGTACAGAAATAAACAGAACAGTGGTGCCAGAGCTCTGGCTTTATTTTGCTTTGTTTGTTTGTTTTAGTTATGTGGCTGGGATTTAATAAGAGAACTTACATAGACTCAGTCATTAATACATCAGGCAGATTTGTTTAATCTTCTCATTGCTTGGTCATTATGACAAGATGGAAGTGGAAACCCTGCGCTCTGTGAAGTACGTCTGATGGAACACTTAATAGTGACATGCCTATGTCAGGGTGCATATATACACGGAATTATTTTAAGCTTCCTTCAAGTATTAACATATGTTCTATATAATATATATTACATATACTATATTACATCCAGTTGTATGAAAAAAAGCACTCATCACGGGAGAAAACAATTTGAACAGTAAGACCTGATGTGCATGATCGAAAACAGGTTACAGCCAAGAATGGCTTTGTTTAAGGCTCTCAGGGATTCACCATCAGTAAGTGAGCTTTTTATTCTGGTCTCAGCTGTGAGAATATGATTCATCCTTCCAGATGTCTAGCTGTTGTTCAGGGAGTGGGGGTTAATCTAAGCATGTCGCTCACTCTTGGTGGGTGGAGATCGCAGATCTCAGGCAGGTTGTGGGTAGAAGCAGGGGCTGCTTTGTTGCAGTGGAAGAGAGAATACATCAATGATACAACTTAAAGGTCAACCATGAAAAGGCCTGAAATTGTCCAGAGGAAAATTATAAAGTAACAAACTCTGATTCCATTATTTGTTCTGACATTGAATCACCAAAAGAAATGTTCTAGCTCTGATGTTAATTTCTGTAGTCTTAAAAATGTATCTCCTGTTTAGCTACCTTCTGTTAAAAACAAGGAAACAGGCCCCAGATGGGGTTGCAAGTGTTAAGTCCCATGTCACCAAACTGAGACTGAATTTATGCACCGTTTTGGCTGTCCCAGAAGTGGAACCTTAAATCGTTCAGTCAGGAATGTCCTGCTCAGGGCCCGGCCCGTTAGGTCGTCTGCCTGAGAGCCCCTCCAGGCCCCTAAAGGAAGGTCACCTTGCGATTACCAACCAGCTCGTGGTCTAGGGTAACCTCATTGTTCCCACTCCCTCCCACCTGTGAAGTCTCTGTGTCCCGCTCTGGGGGCTCCTTTCTGTCTGCTGGACTGGATGGGGCCAGGTTCATGAATCACTGGGTAATGCCACAAAGATCTGTAAAATTTAATCTGTTGAATTTTGTTTTCTAACACTTTGGAAAAAATTCAAATAAACTGCCAAGACATAGAGCACCAGGTTACACAAGTACCTGTGAGAGAAGATGTGACAATAGCTGCATGTTGAATGTAAATTGATCTGCTGGCACGTTTTGACTGGGTTAGGGTCCTGGGGAGAAACTGCCACTAAACTTTGGCTTCCTGGTGGATGATGACAAGAACACAGGAAGCAGACAGAAAAAGCAGCACCATGTTAACCGTGAATTCCCAGAACAGGGACCTGGTTGGAATAAAGAGGCTTTTATTTGGGGTTTGTTAGGACCGCAGCCTGGGAGACACAGATCCAAGAAGCACTTCAGTTGTGTTCTGCCAGACTACAAAATGGGACAAGTTTATAAAGGCAAAAAACCTGCCAGGTTGTATAAATTGCTTGTGGAGAATTAGGATTGGAGCAAGCAGGAAGTAAGGGTTTATTTAGCAAGGATTAGCTGGGTTTGGAATTATGACACAAAGTTGCAAAGGAGGGGGACTTTGAAACTTCAAGGTTGCAGCTGGCAGCTGCTAGCAGCTAGGGTTCTGAAAATTGTTGATAGTGTCCTCCAGTTTGATAGTTTAAAAAATTCAATTTCTCTGTGATGGAAGAATGCATCTGAAACCAACCAGCTTCATTCATTTTGGATGCCTGAACCGTAGTTATGCCATTTTGGTATTTAAATGATTGTAAATGTATCACCAACCAAAAATGAGTTCAGAAACCTCTCTTTTTACAAAAGACAGCTAGATTCCCTAATCTTGGTCATGTGCTTCCACGGGTGGACGACTGACATTTCACACTGGGTACAACTGGAGACAAAAGTCAGCATTGGAGGGTCCAACACTGCCATCGTCTGGAAGAGGGGTGGGGTGGACTAGACAGGACCAAGGATGCAGGCCTGGATGGAGAAGAATGAAGATGGGGTGAGGCTGCTTGTTGTAGGGATTTGTCCCATGAGGTAAAGGGAACCCATGTACGTGCCCAGTCTTGTTATCAGGATGCCCTTCGTAAAGAGCCCCGAATTTCACCCTGATCATATAAAAATAATAATAAATGACAAATAACTAGGGTGATGCTGTATGCGTATCATGTCCTAGGCACCAAAGAATTTGACCTGCAATTTTTACATTAAATTTCAGGTCAATATTATTGAATCCCATTTTATAAATACAGGTCTGGAGGCTTAGGTGGGGTAAGGACCATGCCATCACCACAGCTCCCAGGAGGCAGGGCTGAGACCCAGGTCTGCCTGTCGTGCTAAGCTGCATCACCAGGTGCAGCATGAGGTCAATCAATGCTCAGGTCTTTTTACAAAATAGAAACTATCTAAATGTAAGTATTTGTATGAGGTTTTCTGAAGCAATGGGGGAAGTTGAGAACTTCATTAATCAATGGAGCGGTTGTATTAGGTTATATACGGCCTTGCTACACAATTAACTTAGCCAGGATGAGGCTGTGGTGTCCTCTACCCAGAAGCTGGCATGACATCTCTGCCATCAGGGACCCCTCTCCTGTCCTCTCCACTTCTGGTCTCTTCTGTGTGACTCCCCAGGTGCTGTGTCCTCTGCCCCTTCTGGGTGCCGATTCTCTTTCCTTACCTTGCTTTTCCTCTTGCGTTGCCTTCGCTGCCTTTGGTTCACACCCAAGACCCAGTTTCCACATTTTCTCTCCATCTGCTTAGAAGGCTCTGCCTTCTCCTAGGCTACAGTCTGTCTGCTTTTGGGGTCCTGGACCTTGAAGGAGCCTCACTCCACCCCAGTCCTCTGGTCACGGTGTACGACTTTGGTCACAAGCATCTTCACCCACTGCCCACCCTGACGCATGGTGGTGCTGACCGGGTCCCTGCTCCTCACCGGGGCCCTGAGGCCAGGGCTGGCCACGCAACTCACTGCCCCAGGCTTCTCAGTGTCAGAAAGAGCTTAGTTTTTCCTGATTTCAGGCTGAAGAAAAGCAGTGACTGTGACCTGCAGAAAGTCCCAATGAGACAAGGGAACAGCCAGAGTCAAGGCTGAAGTGACAGGCTGGCTGTGAGGTGACACTGCCCGGGCCACATGCCCAGCCACTCTGTCCAGGGACAGGTTGACACCCTTGTTGACTGAAGCTGACGCAAAGCAACCAGAGTCCTGGGTTCCAACCAAGGTGGGTGATGACTTCTGATCATCAGGCCCCTGTCCCAGGTGGGCACCTGGGAACCTGGGACAGCTGAGGGGAGACGGGGAGCCCGGAGATAAAAATCAGCCCCTCTGTGGAGAACAAGGCCAGCAGCGGTGCTGGCGGTCACTGCCCCCACTGAGGGGAGATGGTGGGACGCTGTGGGCTGAGACTCATTCTTGAGACCCTCCTTCGTGGTGGAAAGCAGAACTGACCATTTCTAGATTCTGGCCAGCAGTGGCCCTGGGCTCCTTGCCACCTGGTTCCCACCAGGGCAAGGTGAAGACAGAAGAAAAGATCACCGTCAGTCATTGCATCATTTGATCATTAGTCAATGTTTATTGAGCAGTCCCTTTTTATCACTAATATTACAAAATTAAAAAGACAAACTCTGTTCCTTAAGAAACTTGTGGTCTAGTGTTGAAACAAAGTAAAAGAACTTCACAAGGCAGTGGAGTGTTTTTCTGCTCAGCCTATGGGACAGAGGGGTGTTCGAGTCTGTTAAAAGCCAGAAGGTTTGCAGTCAGGCAGGAGATGGGGCTCATCCAGAGGGGTGAAGTTGTGAAAATAAACCAGGATCCTGGTGTCTTTGTCCTCAGGCACACGCACGTGCACCAACCACACTGGCCTGTGGCTATTACTGAAATCTCGGAGCTCCCTCCTGCCTCAGAGCCTTTCCATCTGCTCTGCACTTCCCCTGAAATGTGTGTCTCCTCCAGGTCACACGGCTCATCCCTTCACTGCCTCCACGGCCTGTATTCAAACGTCCACACCACTCATGGAAAACATCACCCCGTCTCTCTGTCCCCTTGTCCTCTTGTACCTTTTCTTGTAGCAACTCCGGCCTCCAGAGGTGGGATTTTAACCCCCAGGTGGGACTGGGGGTGAAGGGGGATGTGGGGAGGGGTGGGGCGGCACCCCACCTCCCACAGGCTCTGCTGGAAGGGGAGCTTTGGGTCATACTTGGAAAGGTTTTTGCTAATCTAAGATTATAGTATAATCTCCCATAGCCTTCTCCAGTACTTTTAAAATTATATTTTAATTTTCCTGGAGTCTATTTCGTATAAAGTTTGAGTTTTATTTTTTTCCAGATGGCTACCAGTTTTCCTAATAAAATACTATTATCAGTTAAAATGCTTTCAGCTGTAAGTGATAGTAATCAACAAAAAGCAGCTTAAACAATCAGTACATTTATTAACTCACATAATAAGAAATCTGGGGTAGGGTTGTTCCAGAGTTGGTTAGTTAATTCAGTAGTTTTAACAGTTATTTCAAGGACCCAAGTTCTTTCCACTTCTTCAGATGTTGACTTTATTCCTTTAATCAAACTTAAAACTTTGTCTCTTTTACATTGTACTTGAAATAAGCTTAGTGCTATGAAAAATTCCATTTAATTAGATGACATTTTTGTACCATTGAACATACATGATCATATTCGCTGAATATTTTTTTCACTGCAAACTAACTGAAGTAAGACCCATATCTATCAAAAGCTTCAGCTGTGTGTCCAATACAAGACATATAGTGTTACCATTCTAATGGAGGCTCTGTGTGGTTATACTCTGGAGTAGGATTTGAGAAAATG